AGTCGCCCAGCTGCGACTCTTTTACTGCCACCCAAGGCCTGGCGCCTTCCTCGCCGCGCCGGCCAGCCTGGGAGAGGATGACGCTTCCTGCCCTGAGGCGTTTTGGCCAAGGAGAGCGTTAATCGTTCAGTAGATCTGTCACGGCCGGTCGTTGAAACCGACCTCCAGGTGAAGCCGGCTGACCCCCCTCCTCTCAGGCCGGCAGCCCCAACCTCCTCAGAGGGGCTTCCTATCTCAGCGGCACCTCGGTCGGCGGGATCAAACCATCTTGAAAATATCAAGGCAGACAGACACTTTTTCCAAACACACATTTATAGATTTTTTTTTCTTTTCCAAAAAAAGGAAAGAGGGAGAAAGTATTAGATACATTTCTGCCTGTCTCTTTCTCTCCTTTTAAATATAAATATTTTCAAGTCTCTGTAATTGTAGCCCCTTTCATCACATCTGCTCCCTCTTGAGAGGAGAATGTAGGAGGTGCAACCCAAATCAAAACAACAACATAATGCTCGGGGTGACAGGGAGCAGAACTGCCCCTCAAAAGAGGCCTGGCCTTCATGACGAGGTTTCTTCTCTTCTAAATTGGTGCAGCTATAACTCGGACAGATTAAAAGCCATCCACGGACACCCCCCCAAAAAACACCCTCGCTCCTGCCTTACCATCCCCAGCTCGTTTGGCCCCATTGGTGCCCTCCGCAGAAACACCCAGGTGGTGGTGACGGGTCAGGTCACAGACAAAGCAAAAACTTACACCAATTCACAAACACTGCCTGATACCTCCGGAGACCAACAGTCTGAATTCTCCTTTGGTCACACACACGAAGAGTGCGTGGACCACAGCTGGGGGCTAGGAGGCAGCACCGGCCTCCCCAAGTGACCCCAAGGACCTGGTCTTGTACAGCTGGTCCAGGAGAGAAGAAGGGAGCCTGGAAGAAGCAGCCAGGAGGAAAGAGACACCCTCCCCTCGGGGTGTTGCTGCTTTCATGGCTTCCTGGGGAGGGGGAGCAGATCTGTTCCCCCATGCACTCCTGTCCTTGGCTCCACTTTTGCCTCCCTTCTCCATAGCTCCACGTTAGCTTGGATGGGGCTCCTGCCTGGTGATCCAACCAGCTCCCTAAAAAGAGCACCACCCCCACGAAGTTCCTGGAGGCAAAGGCCACGCAAAGCCACATGACCCTCGGCCATGCCCCAGTTCTGCACACACTTAGAGCCTCTGCACGGCCCAGACTCCTATGACACCCTGCCTACCTCCCAAAGCCAGCAGGAGCCCACCTGTCAAAACCTACCCCCTTCTTCCCTTTCTCCCCAGCCTCCTGCCCCCTCTGGGCCCCAGCAAAATTGCACCAGCCACCAGAACAAGAGGTTGAGATGTGCTACATTTGTGATCCCAGCCAGGCTGGATCCAATGAGTGAAACACAGCTCTGGGCAAGGGATGGTCCTCCCCACACCAGCATGGCAACAGCTGCGCGGAAGGGTCTCCAGCCCCTGCCCCTTCACTGCTTGGGCAAAGTGCTGCTCTCCCACTCCCTCCTTCAAGCCCGTGGGGAATAGCAGGGGTTGCGCGGCAGTTCTGTGAAAGACTTCAGCTCGTAAGGGATCCCAGAGTCCATCTCGATCGACTTGCGTGAGAAGAGCAGCCGGATGTTGTCATGCAGGTAGATCTTCCCCGACTTGGAACTATGGAACCTGGGAAGGTAAGCAGGAGGCTCTTCAGAGGGGGCTCAGGGATGGGGAGACCAAAGCCTGCTGCTCCGGGAGGCCAGGGGAGCCCATTTGGGAACAAGGCACCCTTGCCCACGGGGGGGGGGGGAACCTGGGGAGCCAGCACAATCCGCAGCTGATCCTCTGTGGCCCAGTTCTCCAGGGCTCAAGAGGAGAGCTGCAAAGGGACAGAGATCAGCAGCCCAGGCCAAGGTCTAAATTGGGCATCCCTATCCAGCTGCTGCCTGGAGATGCTCAGTGAGGGAGACTCACAAGTCACACACATTTGAAAGGCCTGTCCCCTGTCATCTTTCCATGGGCAAAGAGGAATAGAAAGTCATCCTTTGCGAGGACTGGGATGGTGGCCCTAAAAGGATGCTTGTGTGTCACTAAGCCACTTTGTTTAATCCCAGTTCATTGGATATGGCACAATTGGCTGGTTTATGCAAGGTGCTAGGCCAAACTCAAAAGGAAAAGAACACAGAAGGTTTAGCCAAGGTGTGACATGTCCTCTCCCCTTTGGTCCTTAGGCACTGCCTTCCAGGGCCACTCTGGCCTGGGCTGTGGAAGAGTCCAGTTCTTTCAGTTTGGGCCTTCCCCCTGTACCAACCAGGTCTTTGAGCTAATCCCTAGCAAGAAGCCCCGAATCAACCTGAACAGCAATTGCACAGTGAAGCCAGCTTGCTCTCTGCTGCTTCATGACACAACTATTCCTGAACTCATCAACCGTTGTCCAGGTTAATTTTGAACATGTTTTAGCACTGTTCTAAAATGGTGCTAAACCCATGTCCGAAATAAGCCCAACAACCAGCTCTAACTGGATGCAGATCTTCTGTAGGTGCATTCAAAGGAGCCCAACTATCAAATAACATGAGCTGATCGCTGCGCCTCCAGAATAACACCGACCAGCTGTCCAAAAAGAGCTTGAGTACCTGCTGATATCTGAACCCCCTTTGAATGCACCTGCACCAATCCAGAACAAATTCTGACATATGGCTAAATCTGGTTTATCTCTCTGTCACAACCTGCCTCCTCCCCCTCCCCCAGCCCAAATCTGGGAGAGTATTTGGTAGGTGTTTTCCTGGTGGCCAACAGAGGTGGGTGGGAAAGGGAAACAAAGCCGGGAGACCCACCAATCACCATCTCTCACATTCCCTGTACAAAGACTGCACTATTTGCCACCACTGTGTCCAAGATGGGAATAGGTACTGCCCTGGGGGGCAGCCACAGCTGTTGGACAGCACTGTGGCCACGAGGAAGAGCTCTAGGCCACTGTCAGAACTCATTTGAGCACAGAAGGTCCAGCCAGAGCTTTTCCAGACTTCAGGAAGGCCAAGTGAAACCCCCAGATGTTCCAGCAAACCAGATGTGGATCTACCTGGTTTCTTTTCTGCATCCACTCCTTCCTTACCTCAGGTGCATCAGGTAGCAGAGAACCCGCTTGGGCACCTCTGCAAGATCAGAGCTCGAGCCCTGCCCCTCACCCACAGGCACCAGGAAGATGCGATGGCGCAGGAAGGTGACGTGGTTGGCAGGCATGTCGTGGAGGTCGTAGGTCACCAGAAACATCTTTACCACCGTCTTATTGGGGTTGAATAAGGTCTGAAAGAGGAGAGGAATCAGCTGCGGAACCAGTGGGGAGGGAAGGAGGGGAAGAGCAGAAGCGACCCGCTGCGGGTGGACTTTGTACGTAGTGGAAGGCGGGAGGTCAGGAGTGGGGCTCTCCACGCAGCCCCCACCACCAGGTCTTCTGCCACACCTCACTCTCTCTGCTCTGGAGGAGAGAAGAGCCAGGCTGGCTCCGGCTCCCAGGCCGTTCCCTACAAGTCAGGGTTCTCATTCGTCTCATGGCTACTCACCACTTGGATGGTGCCCATTTTGGGGATGCTGTAACCCTTCTTTCCCAAGGCTTCCAAATCAATGACTCCCTACGGCACAAAGGGGGCACAAGAACAACATGAGGACAGGCTGCGCTTGGCTGGTTGCCATGTCCAATTCACCTGGGGAGCCCCTTGCTGGAGGAATCGGGGGGGGGGGCCGTGAAGAAGCCCCCCCTGAGCAGGATGCTCCTCCAGCAGAATGGCTGCCTT